ATATAGTTTATAGAGGTTACTATTTACTCAACATGAATTAAGGGGAAGATTTTTGCGGTTAATTCCTCAAATTGGAGTAACCTCTCCATATTAAGTCGTCAGGAGTCGGTGTGAAGGGGAGTACATATATCCTCGCATGAGTCTGTAAACGCCCCAGCTTGATGCATTATTATCAAAGTGATTATCTTTTGTGGACGTAGCTCATGAGAAGGAAGAACCACGTATTTGGAGTGTCCTAGTACTTGCATGCATTTTTGCACTGCATGTGTGAACAATTTTCGTATGTGTTCTTACCTATATATCCTAGTTACTGCCACTACCTTTGGGATCCTGGATAGAATTAATATTTGAATTTTGAGCTAATTCATACATTCTTAGATATCATAATATTGAAATTAAGTATGATTTTTGTGTTAGTTATAATTTAAATTTTGGATTAATTTCAAATTAATCTAACTTGATTTAGAATTGGATACACGCTTATTGTAATTAAAATTATACATATAGTTTTTTTACCATGTATATATAGGTGGACAAGACACAACTCGATTTGAATATTTTGCAGGTTTTTGTTCCAAGATTTCAAATTTTTTTCAAAGATTTCAATTTGTTCTAAATGTAGCTTGAAAATTAAGTATTTTGGTTTGTTTGTAATTGTTTTTCTACTTATGATGATTGTATGTACTTGTGTTTTGCGCTTCAATAGATATAAGAGCTCAAGAATTTTCAAATTTTCAAAAAAATAAATATTTATCAAAAAGCTATCAATTATCAAAAACAATTTAAGAAGTTGTGATTAGAGGTGAGCTTCAAGATTTTTTGAAAGATGCAAAGGAAAGTTTGATGCATTACCAAAGCCAAGCACACTGTCAACTCTACAACTCTGGAGTTGTCAAATTTGGCTACATGCTTGCAAAGTTTTGAACATAACAAAGGTGGTTTGTAGAAGATGTCAAATTTGAAGCTTTGAGTTTAGGTTGTGGGGACTAGATGTTGCGATATCCATAACTTTTTGCTGGAATGTCGGCTGGAGCTGAGATTTCATGGGATTGTCAAATTTGACTAGCCGCATTGGCTACAAAGTTTCAGCCAAAACAAATACGGTTTTAAGAATTTGTCAAATTTAGAGCTCTGAGTTTAGATTGTGGAGGCTGGATGTCGGCTGAAGTTATGGCTACCAACTTGGTAGCCATAACTTCGCGCTGGAGTGTCATTTCGAGTTGAAGTTTTGTGAGATGAATATCGTTGGCAATGCATATTAGTTTACAAATTTTCAGTCACAACAAAGGGTAAAACTTTGCAAAGTTGGATCCATGATGACTTTTAAAGATATCATATTCAATCTTCAGCAAAAAAATTTGGAAAACTTGTAAGTGTTCCACTAAAAATTCAAGTTATAAAATGTTGACTTGACTGCACACATAATCAACTTTGGAAGTTGAAGTTATCATTCATAAGTTTGAAGAATTTTGTGAAAGATAGTTGTTTTATCATGCTTGACATTTGGAGATCCGTTGAGAACATTCAAGAGAAAGTTGAATTCCAAACTTCAACTTTTGCTACTCTTAGATTGCATGAAGTGATTGAAAATCTAGACCTGAAAATGAAATTTTATGCTGAAGCTATCAAATTTGCTCATATTTATTTTGGTCAAAATCAGGAGATTGAAATGTCAAGTCATATCAACTTGCTCGTTGAAAAAATGAATGAAGAGTTGAAGAGTGTTGTCACCAAGTTTTTGACTGAAAGACTCAATGTTCCTAAATTGGATTTGGCTCAAGCTTTTTGTATTGGAAACAAAGAAGGTCAACTTCGTGTCATTGTTGTTAAGTTTGTTGATCAAGCTCAACGTGATACTACTATAGCTAACAAGACCAATCTCGAGGAACGGAGGATTAGGACAGATCCCAATCTTATACATTTACAAGTTGAAGCAAGAAGTAATAAGCTTACAAAAGTCAAAAAAAGCTCAAGTAATAGGTTTTGTCGCTTATCTACGCGATAATCAAACTATTATTAATCAGAGGAAAAGTCAATCATCAACCTAGCAATCAAATGCATTGAGGGTGTTGATGTGGATAAGAGTTCTATCTACAACAAAATATGTGAGTGCGCATTCAATTTGGAAGATGTCACACATCATCAACATTGTGGAAACTTGGGAGCATGAGAACAATGCTGATGGAAAGATACAAGGGTTTATTTTGATTGAATTTACTTGGAACCATAAAAATTGACGAGCATGAAGAGGTTTTGGAGTCATTGCTACATTCATCAAATTTGAATTTCTTCCTACACTACTTACTCCAGTGCGTTGTAGTCCGAGGAGGAAGTTCAAGCTAACATGAAGGTTATAACAATACACTAAAGAGACTCGTAGCGCTAAGACCTACTTCAATCAAAAGTCATTTTGATTTTTTCAGTTTCTTGACTAACTCGAATGCAATTCCTTCCACTAGTCTATTTCTCTTTACCTCTAGAATTACAAAATAACTATCTTCTATGACTTCTCTTTGCTTTTGCTCTCTCTTCCATACTGTTTATTTTCTTCACTCCTCTCCTCTTTATGACTTCTTTAGTCACCCTTGCATTGCTCATTGACCTACAATGAACTTTTTTCTTCTCTCTCAAACCTTTTATCTGTTCTAGTGCTCAATTCACGAGCAAAAAAATTGACTTAGATAAAAATGATCAACTTAACAAAAAATGAATGACCATACATTGATCACGATCTCCTAGCTCCGCAAAGAGGGGGTACCGCATGCTCCTCACTTTACTATCTCTCTTGACTCCGCAACGAGAAGCTATCTATGAGTCCAAAATGACATTCACATGTAATTTTAATATTATGAAAAGTAAAAAATATATAATTATTTTAGCAATTATAGTTTTTGCAATTCAGTGGCAAAATTATCAACAATGTGATTCAAAACGATTTGTGAGAAAAGTGTGAATGATAAAGATGTCTAGTTGATTCCATTGGTGTGTTTAATTGATTTTGCTTGGCCGAAGGACAAGTAGCCAAATTTAGGAGTATATGGTGTTACACAATGTAGAACATGTTCAAGACATCAAGTTGGAGAAGCATAACAGACAAGTAAGCTATGTGAGTTTGCCGCACGTGTAACCTGGAAAATAGGAATATCCAGGATGGGCAGCCAACCTCCTAGAAAAAGCAATGTACATAGAAAAACTCAACAGAGAAGTAAAGCTTTCTCTCAAATAGCTAATGAAACTTTACATACGGATTGAAGATGAATTGAACTTAATAGACGACTCTAAAAGAAGGAGAGTCTTTAGCTAGAGAAGAAATTGAGGGTAGTGCTAACAAGATTGATTGTCTCAAAAGAGATAGTAAGATGTCAATGGAAGAGTTTGGTATCAGAACACGATTTTTTTTAACAGGAACAGAAGTAGGAGATTGATCAAAAAAACTTAAAATTTGAAATTTTTGGCTTCTCATATTTATTACTTTTTGTTTTATAATCATTTTGATGATGTATAAGAAAGATGTAAACTCATTGTTTTATCTTCGTAAAGCTATTTTACTTCACTTGACATTATTTTATGTCAAACATTAGCTTTAATCTTTGAAGTTTTTCCTTAAATTTGGTAACTTCTAACTTGAATGAAATTTTCAACTCTATTTTTTTTCCCTTTAATGACATCTCATCTTTGATTCTTTTTAATAATTAAAATTCAAAGTATTCAATGTATCAATTATTGTACTCTACAACAATAAGATACATTCTTAGTGCATCTAATACATCCTCGTTTATAGATTATTAACCATTGGTTATAAAATGCATTAACTTTATCCGAGCCATACCATTCAGTTTTAGTATAACAAGATGATAATAAAGTACAGCACTCCACAACTTACTTTCTCACATGCGAATGTGATAATGCTATAAGCTTTATAATATATTACAGTTGTGATGTATTTGATGGCGGATGATAAATGCCTAACATGTAAGAAGCTATGTTCAGCGTTAAGATTGAGAAAAGCGAGGCAAAATTTCATTGATTTTAATTTGTTCTAATAAGATTAAAGTATATTTTCTTCAAAACAAATAAATAACATTGCTATATATAAGAGGGCAATCCTGTTAGATCATGAGCATAGAATGCTACTGTATTTGTGAGATATTGGATTTTAAATCTTGAAATACAGTGGATGTTGCAAGACATACTTTTCATGAGGAATCTATCGGATCAAGTCCAGGTCCTCCGGCTTGATTCGTTCTTTACCGGGTTCATGGATTCTTTGTATGTTTTCATATATCCACGGGTTTTCAAACGTTGCAGTTTCAAATTACATAACATTTAACATATACAGAGTAAGGTTACTCTGTGTATAAGAGGATAGATACCAGAGTGAGTCATGAAACAAGTGATCTTTAGAGACGGTGATAACCAATAGAGGAAGGAAAACTTTATAATACCGTTCGTGTAACACGCAACATACGTTGACGATGGGGGGGAAATACTCAGCTCGCGGAAAAACCGTGGCGGATGCACAAAACAGATCTTACCGTCCTTCCATCACGTCATCATCACGACCGCGAACAAGCCAAACCGATAACGGAACCGGAGGCTGACGGGAGGAGTCCCGGTCATGGGTACCGGCAAACATCAGCCCCGTCTCTTTCACACACTGGTCGGTAACGTCTTTAATTACACGATTCTTTCCCCGGTAACTGATCTAACGGTTCCTTCTACCTGACGCAGCAGCCACGTCACGAGTCGAACTCTTCTGATTCGCCCAGCACCTACTGCCATTTCCGCCATATCAGCATTTGCCGGTCCCGTGATGCTGCACCTCGCCGGTTACACCTTATCCGCTCTGCACCCTCGGATGGCGCGATCCGAAGGTGGACGTGACCGAACCCTCGGGGTCCAAACCGGGGCTCGTGGTCGTCCGAACCCTAACCGGTAAAGAAAGACCGCCTGACTAACTGGCTGGCTGGCTGGCCAGCCAGCCCACCTGCACCTGCCTGCCTTGCCTGCCGAGCATTGTCGAGACTCGCGAGTCTTTGCTGTGCACTTTATCGAGTACGAGAGAGACAGAGAGTGTGCGCTAGTCCGCGAAAGGGCGAGGCAGAGAGGAAAAGAGGGGATTGCAAAACAAAGATCCACTAGACCCGACCCGACCCGACCACGAACGCCAGGCCAGTCCAGACCTTCAGACCAGTCGCAGTTCACGTCGAGGATCTCGTCTTTCTCCCCTCTGCCATCAGCCAGGCTGACTGCCAAGTAGCTGCTGCTGCGTAGAGAGAAACATGCGTCGATGTGAATGAAAGAAAAAGTGCTGAAGTACGCAGACGCGAGATCTATCCGTGGTCAAATTGCCTGCGCATGAAAGGGACGCGAGTAAGACGGGGAATCGAGTTTAATCGACTGTCGCACTGAGTGTGATCGTTCTCGACGAGTTGGATAACGAAGGCTGGAGAGGTTGGAAATCGGCGAAATTTTTGAGTGGGAGAGACAGACAGGGTGCGCGCGCATACCCGGAGGGAGGAGGGAGAACGAGAGAGAGACTAGTTCAGGTGGTGGCATAGACGGGAATCGAGAAGTCAGGACGGACGGGTAGGAAGAGGCGGAGGCTGTGTCAAGAGTAATAGTGGTTGAGACGCGGGTGAGAGTGGAGGGGAGGAGTTTCAGAAGAGGCATTTGAAAGGCAGTCAAGATAGACAGAGTAAGAGAGTATGCTAGCTCTTTTAACATACATATGGATGCCAACGGGGAGGGTAGGGGACCTGGGGAAGATTTGGACGTGGTGGATCATGGAGATGGAGACGCGAGTCATGCGAATCTTAGAGGAGATATGAATGACTTTCAAGAGATCGATCTGCTAGGTCAGAGTAGGAAATTGGTGTTAGCCGTACGCGAGATGGGAGCGGGAGTGGAGGAAATAGACTTGGAAATGGGTCCCGGCGAGGACGACCCTAATTTTGGGCCAGGAAATAGCGAAGGCAACGAACCGCAGGGGTTGTTAGAGCTTACTCCTAAGCAGCAACCAAGGAAAAAGAAGAAGGTTGTCAAGAAGTGGAGAGACGAATGGGCTGAAACTTACAAGTGGGCCTATGTCGCTGTCCACGAGAATACTCCCAGAATATTTTGCTCCATATGCAAGGAATATGGAAGAAAACACCGGAGAAATCCGTATGGTAACGAGGGCAGTCGGAACATGCAGATGAGTGCTTTGGAAGAGCATAATAACAGTTTATTGCACAAAGAGGCGTTGAGGCTGCAGATGGCATCGAAAGATAAGGGCCTCGGACTTATTGATCGACCACTCTATATCAAAGGTATTGCACTTATTCATGCTCTAGCCTGGAACGAATCAAGTCAGGGAGGGTTCTTCTAACTTAGAGCTATGGCTCCAAGAAACAGGTTCAGCCGCGCAATCAGGCAAAACTTTTAATTTAAAGTGACGGATACAACGGTTCGAAACCTTCTGCACAAGCCATGACACAATAACATCCGTATAGTCCTATTTAATGGAAACCTCCGCTTTAGTTTCCAAGTTTTGCGAAGTTGAACAATGACAAAACAAACTACGACCCGTAGCTCATGACTGAAGCTTATGCGTCAAGAAGCGGAGAGCTCCTCCTTGTAAGGCCGAAGTGCCCTCATACTTGATAGAAGCCAAATCATGCAACTCTTGGTTTGGCTTCAATGCTGTCTTCTGATCCCGGTCCAATGTACAAACTTCTCCAATGCTGTAAACCAGCACACACAACGGTATCCGTTTTCCGACGTTTTTTTTTTCGAATTTTGGATCATTGGTACAGTGGATAGTGATTCTTCAGCTGGCGGACTCTACATGTACAGGACAGGCCTTGCATTTTTTTCACTGTCTGGGAGGTTGTGTGTAATTGAAGATCGGAAAACGAAATATGAATATTCTTCCTCGTAGTAAAGCTTGCAACCAAATTCCCTTTTCCGTATAACAGCTTCTAGTCCCGTTGTTCAAAATTTCCGATACAACGTAAAGAACGGCGAAATACCTCTACATTGTACGAAAAGATTTGGTTTGACGAATCTTGTTGTTGGCTATACCAGTTTGCTACCAGTCTGCCTCCCATGAGCAGCCGTCTTTCAACACGAAACCTCCAATGTTTCTCTACTCTTACCGTTTGTCCAGGTTTAGGGTTATCTATACCTGGAAATCAATCTAGACGGTCCTACTTACGAGTAGATCTCCAGTTTTTCTGATCAAGCAATTTCAAATATTTCATCGAAGGTTGAAGCTACTCAAAGTCCTCCGAGACTTGGTGTTGTCACTTGGAGTTGCCGGAGTGTTTCGGAAGTGGATTGAAAAGCAGAAACAGAAAGAACCGAGAAAAAAGAAGACACCGTTGCCTGGAAAGTTCTGAGTTTTCTTCTAGTTTTGTTGCTTATGTCTCTAGGTTTTCATGCCTCACTTGCGAAGGTTGGCCAGCCTTGATGTACAGCATCCAAATCATTTTTTTCTGTTCCTGGCTTAGACTGCTTTGTTTAACACTTTGTCGAGCCATAGTCGGGAGTTTTGAATTCAACTTCGTGTATTTAAGTTCCAGTGCCTTAGTTTTGGAAGTACCTGCTCCCGTTATCTGGAATCCAATGTGATGGATTTCAAGATTGAAAGGTTTACAAGAATTAATCTTGCACGCGGCAAACTCTCGGAGACTATGTTCTTACCCCGGCCGTCGTAGATCATTGGGCTCCGGTCAAGGATCTACTTTCCCAGAAAAAAGTGTGTGACTCAAATGATGAAAAACGTTTCAACCTGTGATCTTCGGGATCGCCCGTTCCTTGAGTCTTGAGTTGAGCGTGACGGGTATCAGGCCGGAAGGTATCAGGTCTAAGCCGCGAAAACTGCGACTAACATCGAATGTTTCTGAAATAGTACATACCAATTTTGACCTACAAGTGAACGTTTTTTTTCGTCGAAGACCTTAAGGAACCCATAGGTTCTCTTTACGGTTAAGCACATGTCATCTGTCATCATCATGCTTGTACACACTCAATGTTCAAATTTCTCCTTTCGATTGTTATGTTCAGTGCATTCAACACAATGATGTGAAAACTGTTTAGCTTTCTAAAATTTGACATTTTCTCAGGTTCGGAGATTCTGCTTGGAACTTTGGAATGTTTTAAGGATTTTTGTTTCGTACGTTCGTTTAGCTTCTATTGTTCAAGGGAAATGCCCTTCGAAGATGTTTTCCCTTTTTTTCAGTCCAATTTTTTCAGGATAAGATTGTCCTTCGCCAACGGTGGTGACGAAGTTGTGCGATTCAGTGCTTTCATTCGCTTTCCTTTTAATGGCTTTTGCCTAATGCTGAAACACTGTTTTTTAGCTTGCTTTCCTTGAGAGTTTTTTCAATCTTGCTCTTGTTTATGCATGGTCTTAATTAGAGACCAACCAACGAAGTGTCTAGAACATGGAGTCCGGGACTTGGTCAGGAAGGCTGCGGCAGCTCTTTGTCTTTGTGGCAAAGTAGTTAGACGGCTTCACAGAAGTCAGATCGCTCTCCCACAGTCAGGTACCTGGAGCCTTTGTAGATCAAACACGCTGGCCATGGAACATCATGCCTGAGATTTGAACTTCTTGACAGCTTTCCCTGTGTTCGTCAAGTAGACCCGTACGGTAAAATTTTCAAATATCTGTTCGCTCCGACAATGAAGATGGAACGCCACTTCATTACATAGCGATTTGTAAGCACTTTTAGTTGAACAGCGTGAACCTAGTTAGCCGTACATACACTTGGTCCACGGACATGTGTGTTCTCACGAAGAAGAGCAGCATTCCCCAATCCGCTAAAGCTGTATACGAAGCATAGAAAATTATTGGTCTCAATTTTTTTCATCCTCAATCATGTATATTTGATCTATCTTATCTTTGATGATTCAACGAAGATATCCAATAATTGCATGCTACAGAAACAGCATCTTTGAAACAGATCTAACGTGTGGAAAACAACTTACATGATTACTTGCAGTTTGTCTATAATCTGATCATCGTATTAAGCCTTGTGGTTGGAATCTTCATCTTTTTTTACAAGTAATTGCATTTCCGGGCTCGTGAAGTTGGGTCCTGGAACCTTGGAGTGTAGTGTGAAATGGTTCGATTTGTCTTGACATCATCACTTGTCGCAAAAGTTAGTGACTTGCAACAGCGGAGCGTCAGAGTTTTGCTCGATAAAGTGGTCATGACATCATCTCTTTAAGTACTGAGTCGTTAATCTCTGTTGAAAATGATATCCTCGTCATGTGGATATAGAAGATGATACTCTTAGTATTTTTTACAAGAGGGTGCAAAATTACACACCAGATTTGCCCTTTAAATGTAATGGATGTCATTGTCGGAAGCAGTATCCAGCAATCAATTATAACAAGTGTCTAGAAGTAGCATGTCACTCAATTACGTTGATGTGGTATATACGTCTTTTGATTATTTTGCCCATGTTTACACGCATGTTCTCGTTCGTTTCATATTGCGTGTTTTCAGGTCCTAAGGCCCTCGAACGCAAGAACCAATACTTCGGTCTTAACGATAAAAGTAAGTAAAGTGATACTGTGGTCAATGTATGCCTCACTACCTGGGAAGATTGCAAGAGACTTCGAGCCTTTCTCACGTGTACGGGAGAAAAATGATAATATAATATCTTTCAGTCATGGATTGAACTTCTCATGCACACTTTTAACACTTCTTGTTTGGAGCCTAAGGTAGGTTTACGTCACCCACACACAGATCGTTATATCATGCGTAGTGGGCCTTTGCTTCTGCCCTTGATTTAGCCTCGTAACAAACGAAAGAGCCCGTCCTAACAGACATGTGCCCGCCCGCACAAGGTTTTCAACTTGAGATTTCAATCCAAGAGAGGTATAGTCGAGTATTGTTTACTAGGCGACACAGTGGTGAAGGCTAGCGACACTTCAAACTTGCGACTTTTCTATTCACTGTTTAGTCCCGTGGCCACTTTGGCTTAAGATGCAACTCTGTCATATATTCTAATTTTTCGTGATGTGTATGTTGCATGATGTGGCGAAATGAACTCTGAAGCACTTATGTCCAAAAGTGCGGAGTCAATTTTAGAAGCTGTGATAAAGCGAGATCCTCACGAAGGAGAGTTCATACAGGCTGTTTCGGAAGTGGTGCACTCTCTTGAAGCTGTCCTTTCCAAGAATCCGCAGTACGTCGTAGGGAATTCTTCGTTTTTTTTTCTGCTGGTTAGCATTGTAATAGATTTCCCGTGAATCTATCTCCAATCTTCATTAAGTGTCCTTTCATCTTACTGATATTGCCCTCAACTTGTGTTTAAACTCTCATATCTGGGTATCATGATGTGCAACAGATTCGTACACGTCTTAGAGCGGCTGTTGGAACCGGAGCGTGTAATTATGTTCAGAGTACCTTGGGTCGATGACAAGGGAGAAATGCACGTTAATCGAGGTTTTCGGGTCCAGTTCAATCAAGCGCTTGGACCTTATAAGGGCGGTTTGCGGTTCCACCCTGGAGTTAACCTAAGTGTTATGAAGTTTTTAGGTCTGGAGCAGGTACTTTTGAAGATTTTCGTCGTCTAACCAATATCGAGGATGATGCAGCTAAAAATATATTTCCAGAGTTACTACTTAAATTTTTCCCGGATTATTTCGGTGGTTGAGAAACAGCTTTCTGACATCATGACGTGTTGCATTACATTGTGTTCTGTGTAGACTTTAAAAAATGGCGTTACATCTCTCAACCTGGGCGGGGCCATGGGGGGTAGTGATTTTGAGCCTAAAGGCAAGAGTGATAATGAGGTGAGATCAGTTTCAGAGTCTTGAAGATGCTTGCCTTTCTGTCGGAGAAAAGTTTGTTGCAAGCAGTGTGTGGCGTTCCGACATTTGGGTCTTGGTCTGCGCATTATTGCTCTGTTGTTTGATCATGCTTATGGTTTTGCCTCTGAGTCTTGTATCGATGATGTAGATGATGCGTTTCTGTCAAAGCTTCATGGAAGAGCTCTATCGTCATATTGGTCCAAACCAGGTAAACGGCGTAGGTGTACATTGGATCTCCTTGTATGCACCTGGCGGATGCCCCTTGATCTCGGTTGAGTTACTCACGTTATAATTAAGTACTCTACCATTCACGTGTTCGGAGTGCCTCAAGTGTCGCACTCTGCTTATCGTTATCTCCAGTGATGATTTCCAGGTTACTATGCTAATGTTTAGATTTCTTGATTGTCAAACTATCTTTCTATGTAGTTTGACGTAAGCCTTGTCTTCCTTCTTACTTTGTGCGCTCAGGATACTCCTTGTGGAGACATAGGCGTGGGAACAAGAGAGATAGGATATTTGTTTGGTCAGTACAGGCGTTTAACAAGTCAATACGAGGTATGTGCTTTCTCTTGCGAATCCCGAGCAATTTATTAATATATTTAAAGTTAGTGGGTGCTGAATCTGATTTTGTTAGTAGGTAAAGGCCTTCCTAGCGAGGCTGTAAAAATAGCGAGAACTCTGGGTGTGCGTTCGAGTTGATGGCTCACTAGACAGAGAACTCCACAATTTTTCTTTGGACGGTAGAGGCAACACAAATGTCTTGATGTATACCCTGTGCAGAGTCTGCTGACGTGTAAGAGTCCTCCGTGGGGAGGTTCTCAGCTACGGCCCGAGGCTACGGGCTACGGCCTGGTATGTGCCACGAAAACCATCGAGTAGTTTTACAGTATGTTATCATCTGGAAAGACGAGCATAGGGTTGTCCAGTTCTAGGGGACTCCAAAACCGAAGGAATGTATGCAGGAATTCTGTGTTACAGGAGTTTGTCAGAGACAGACACATCGGTCTTAAAGCTTGAGCTAGCTCATATCGTAGCGTCTGGTGGAGACTGACGGATCTGTTGTAGAACGATGTCTGGAATTGAATGAGTTTTCATAGTGTGTTTCTACAGTATTCTATGTGTATGATACTGTTCTAATCATACTCTTCGATTGATGTGTAACCTGAAACTTGTTATTTTCTTGTTCCATCAGGTATACTTTGCCAAGGAGGTTCTTGCAGATCTGGACAAGGACTTGAAAGGCCTGAGGTCGATTAGAATCCCAAATCTTTCTATACCTCTTTTTTCTCATCAGGGGCTATGGCATCCACAAGAAAACGGCTTTCAATATATCGAATGCTATATTCTTTTGGATACCGTAATTTCGGGAAACCACTATGTAGGAGTGAAGATCTTTTTTTGAGGAACTTGTTACTTCTGTATCCATGTCGCCAAGTTTTTACATGTTTTTTAAACCTGTTGTGTTATTTTTCGTGGGCAGAAGTTTGTAGCCTTTCTCACATGTTGTATATCAAAATGCCAGGTGTGTAGTCAGTGGTTCCGGGAAAGTAGCCATGTATGCCTTGGAGAAGCTGATTGCGTTCGGTGCTATCCCAGTTAGCATATCCGGTGAGGAATTTGCCACTTGATCTTCTAGTTTTTCTTTCCTTTGTTTTTTCAACTTTCGCATAACTCTGGTTGTCAAGTGTGAATGCAGAACCAGCTGAACTCAACGCTGTTTTCCCTTGATAAAACTGGATGCATGACGCTCGGTTCCAATTACTCAATTATCTGGTCTTTGCCTCTCAGATTCACGGGGATGCATAATTGATGAGGATGGTTTCGACTTTGCCAAACTCAGCCATTTGAGGGATATAAAAAATCATCGCAAGAGTCTTAGGTATATTTTCTCTTACTGGGTTAAAATGTAGAGAATAATAGTGAACCTCTTTGTATGCTTTAGATTATTGCATGAGTTTGGGGGTTTACTCTTCTACATACATATGATTAAGTTCACTTACTTGAGTCTATTGCAGAGAGTACACCAAAACTCATTCCCGCGCCAAATATATCGACGATGGAAAGCCTTGGGGAGTGAAATGTGATATGGCCTTCCCTTGTGCGAGTCAAAATGAGCTCAACCATTCTGATGCTATGGCCTTGGTCAATGCCGGCTGCAAAATAGTTGTGGAAGGTAGTTATACCACGTGCTCTCCTGAGTAGTCGAAACTTTACGACGTTGGTAATTCTATCAAGAGCACTAGATGGGGATATGATGAATCCTGTTTTAAGTTGGCACTGAGCTGATTCCATACTCTGTTGTTCATTTGTTTCCTCTTTTCCGTTAGAATTTGGGATACATTTTAATTCGTTTTTGACCACAAAGAAATCACCACTTACGTTCAGTTTTCGTCTTAATTGTGGATGCCTCAGATCTTATCGTGTATGGCGTAAGAATTAAGAATATTTTTGCACACATCGGCTAATGTCTGTCTTTGTGTGCGCAGGCGCCAATATGCCTTGTACAACGGACGCTTTAGAGGTGTTTCGGAAGTCCAAGATAGTATACGCGCCTGGAAAAGCAGCAAACGCAGGAGGGGTACGCGTTTGATAATGGAATAACGATAAGGGTGCATGCATGTCTTGTAGCTCGCGTGATTGACGTGGGCAAGATAACATATCTCGATGAAGCTAATTATGAGGGAAAGCTCCTAGTCCAGTCAGAAGGTCGCAAATTTTGCAGCAATCTTTAGGAGACTCCATTCAACGGTACTGTTTAATATTGTATCTAAACAGTAAGACTTAGAGGGTGTCGCAAGTATATTGTTATTCTTATAATATATCATCGATTGTATGGTCAAGCGAAGAGAGGAACACTCTCTGCCGGACTGTTGTAAGAGTTGGTCGGGAAACGTAATTAGGGGACTTCTCGTCAAGCCGCCGAAGACTACTCAAAATAAGTACTCAAGTTATACATGTCAGCTTATCAATTCTGGAACTTTGCCTCGATCTCTTACAGGTCGTGATTTCGGGACTCGAGATGGTTCAACACAGCGGAAGGATCCAGTGGTCTGCTGATGAAATCGACAGTAAGCTACAGGTATGAATTTGTCTCCAACATTGATATCTGGTTCCTTCTCCCGTGACGTAGGTACATTAGACGATGGATCGAATGGGAGTGATCCGCTTGTGGTCTTCTCTCATTTTTTTCAGTCCATCATTCCAGACATGCCGTCGGTGTTTAGAATATCAAGGTTATTTCTTATCTTTGAGCATCGAAGGAGAATTAATATTGCAGATCACTTAGCTTATTCTAACGCTCTTTGATCGTTAACTAAGTGACAAGCTAATAAACTTATTAAGAGACCACAGAAGGTCATCACTATTTAGTGCTTCACGTCAACTCATCTTGTGGGGCAATCATGGTGCAGGAGGTGATGAAAGAGATTTACCTGAAATGTAAGAAAGCTGCAAATGAGTTTGGAATTGGACTTGGGAGCCCAGAGTAAGTTGTTCTTTTCTCTGACCTGTGCAGTCTCTCCGTTATGTACTGTGATTTTTTGTTAAACTGGCCTTGGTTCTTGTTAGAAGATTTGAAAGCACTTTTCACATTTGTTTCTTCTCTTTCTGTCAATGGTGGGAAAACCTTGATCAGGTCACTAGTCCACGGAGCAAATATTGCGGCCTTCTTGCGTGTTGCAAGGGCGATGTTGGAGCAAGGTTGCGTTTGAAGACCGCTTCAAGTCGATTATTGTAAGAACTAGGGATGGAAGACCAGCATTCTCGCTATTTTTTGTGTGCATATGTCTTCTACTATGGCATGAAGCCCTCAAAAGCTCTGCTCAGTTTGACTTTTTGACAGTCATTCTGGCTAAGTTGTGTATGAGCAAAGTTGGGGTTTTGAAGTCCCACATCCATAGCTTACAGGAAGGTTCCTCATTGTTGGGGCTCAGGTCGCAGACGAATGGTTCAACTTCCAGTGCTGAGCGTAACATGGCTACATGGTGGTGATCAAACTCAACACATTTAGTGGAGAATTGAGTAGTGTGTATGAATCTTGAGTAGGAACACCCGAAAACGGTTTGAAGCATCTGTCGATTCCACCCTTTCTCCTTCTCCATTAATATATTTCCAACAGACGTAACCACCAGGAATATAACCAGCATTTTGCGTTAACATCACAGAGTAGGTTCGCTTAGTCATGCCGTCAGCCGTCAATGTTCATTTTAACTGCCTGAGGCGCTGCCAGGAGACGAGTGTAGATCATATCCATAGGCAATACCAGTGTGGGGTATATGGGCTCATCTCAATCATTACGCTTTGGATACATGAAGTTCTAAACCACATTTTTTTGGGGGTCGTAAGAGTAAGGCGGGCACAGTTCAGTGAGTTCAGCTGCAGGATTTACTTCGAGTATCAAGCTTTGTTCTACACAGAGCTAATCATCCTTCAGGAGTGGAATGTCTCGAGAGCTTTTTTTTATCAATAAGGTCAATTTTAATGTGGCCTCAACCGCTCAGCCTGTTAGAGTCGACTTTGGACCTGATTAAGGTACTTCAACTACAGATCATACATAGGAGCTTGTGTGCACAGTTCATTAAGGACTCAGAAAGGACCCCATTATAAGCCTTACTGTGGTTGGGAGGGGTGCCCGACTAGAGGTTGTTGGAGAAGTGCGCTCGAGTACTTGACTATTGCAAGTAAAGCTAATGCCAAATGTTTGTAAGCTTTCGTTAACAGTATATAATTGTACAACTTGAATGTCTTCTTTGTATAAAGTTCAAGCAAGGGTATTTCCTACTTGTGGCTGGTCTCGGTATTGTGAGATGTTTTCCACTTTCTTGGCGTTCTCACCATGGAAACTTCTCATGGATGTGCAATTCCTAAGTTGAATGTGTATCATCGTCAGCGGTGTAAAATTTTTAATTTACCGACTGTACAGCAATGGATGAGTTTTCTGAACATGACATATTCACTGCCGCAAACCTCATCTGTTTGACGGTTCTTTTTTCGTCCAGAGAGATTTATTAGCGCGAGGTTTAAACTTCATTACCTTCGATTTAGGCTGGCGTCGTTGTTTTTACGGGTTTGAATGAAGTACTCAACAGGATTTGAATCACCCCTACCGATTTTATTTTTTTTAAAACCCAAGCTTTGTTTACGAACTAGATTTATGTACGTTTTACTTTTGGAATACTAACCAGGAATTGTTTCAATGAAAATATAAGACCGCAAAACCATACAATTTTTCAATCTTAAGTCAGAGGGTATATTCAAATACATAATCTTTCAAATTAGACTTCCATATACCAAATTTTTCTATCAATTTTTACACAGTTATTCTCAGAAAGCATGATCTTCAGGTCCAAAAAAAATATAATAATGATTTTTCTACTTTCTATGAATTGTAATGTATGTATATATATATATATTAATTATTACAACACTGCGATACTCCATCAATTTGCTTACATTGATACAATGGGAATACTTCAATTGTATTTGTGACAGAGATATTTTTCTCAATATGATTGGTAATTACTAAATTTGATTATTGGATATATATTAAATATTATCAAATTGATTTCTTCACGACTTGTATACAAAACAACACAAAATTTTTTGTCTTCTATATTTTAGCGTTTGATCTTAGATCCTAACTAAAGGATTCTACCATGGGAGTAAGACAATTGGGGTTTTTTATATATAATTTTATTTTGTTTCACATAATTTTATTTATCCTGTAAAATCTAAAATTTGAACTTTTACATTATACGATCGGACTTTCATTCTTCGTATAGATTTAAATTTAATAAGCTGCAATATCAACTTCAGCACATTCTTCATATGTTGGGCAAAAAGTATCATACCAGTCGACATAACGTATGCAGCTTTTATTATATCGTAGAGATTATTTTTGGAAACGCATGAATATTGCTCTTGGTAAATCATTAGTTCAGAGTATCATTCTCGTTAGCAGATTGTAGAGATTATTTTGCAACTCAAGATGTAACTATTATTCATCTGAGATCACTACAGAAGTAAAGCACTCTGCTCAGAATACTGTAGAAGCTCTTACAATCATCATCTACTCATTGCTCTTTAAGAATCATCGGGAGATGTATTATGAGAAGCAATCAAGGCATGTGATGATCCTTTCTATGCTCATGTATTAGCTAAGCCAAAGCCCACCTTCCTATCAAATGTACGCATTCGGATATATATACCGTTCTGATGCTATTGGCTGCTAGCCACATTTTACAGTTTTGGATTCATCCATATGGGACTCGATGGGCTATCCCATCCATTTTGCTATATTCCTCGAGTCTTACTTACGTCCTAAGATAATGGCTGAAGTCATCAGTATAAGTCAGCAACCATGCTCACTAAATTGAACTTCATCACTGTCGAAAGTCAGACCAAGAAGAAGAGAAGAGAGGTCGGCGGCCATAGCCACGACTTTTGTCCATGAATTTGGGTCGATTGGATAATCGACCCCAATTCACTAGAAGATCACACTAGACCGGAAACCGTTTACTCAGGCAGTGTCGGGCTTGTGGATGGCCATGTGTCACGCCACGGTTCGTTTACAGGCCGTAATCGAAACCCCCTACCTTTGCGAAGCAAAACGGAGTCCTTGTCTCTCCTGTTCTCTTGTGCAGCACCAGAAGGAAGTAGGACATTGATTTGTTCGGACAGGGCGAATTGGTGGCAGCAAGAACGTGGAGTTGGACTTAGCAGGGGGAAGCGTGGAATACTGGTGCGGGAGTCCGAGTACCGTATTGCGATTGTGGGTGCAGCTCGCTGTACGCCATGGCGGGGGCCTTACAAATTGTAAGTCCTTCGCTGGCGGTTGGACATGGAATTGGGGTTGAAACTTTGAGGTGCTGGTCGAAAGCTGGCGGTCTGTCGATGGCCTCATCGTCATCCTCGCTGTACTGTAGAATTGATAGTTTAAGCGTAAGAAGGGCGCGATGTGGATCGTGGATTCAAAACTCCAGCAGGGTAGACGGACCAGCGAGAGCGTGGAGATTGTCGCAGAGGAGCAAAGGAAACTCATCAAGATGTCGGGCCGAGAGGGATGATGAGAACTCCGCAGGTCGAGGTGGGCCTGCTCTTGAAGACCCTCCTGGTGGGTTCTATGACCTTCATCATTTTAAGACTGTCGGTATGAATTTGAACTGTTTTGATCCCGGAATCCTGTTCTTATTTCCTACTTTGCTGCAATTCCATTTTTCACACAGGCTCGGTTCAAGATGAAGCAGAGGAAGAAAGTCAGTTGCAGTCTGGTTTATCATCTTGGCTTTATCCTAGCAAGGACGAACTTCCGGATGAGAAGGAGATGACGATATGGGATCATTTGGAGGAATTACGAGAAAGAATTCTGGTATCTGTAGCAGCTGTAGGAGTTGCAATTTTGGGTTGTTTTGCTTTCGCGAAGGATCTCATTGTCCTCCTTGAGGCTCCAGTCTACTCTCAAGGTGTCCGTTTTCTTCAGCTCTCTCCTGGTGAATACTTCTTCACCACTCTGAAGGTATGTAACTCTTAGTCCAATCTACTCCATCCGAACGAATGCAGCTTCTTTGAACCCAAATCATAAGCTTGCTACACTGCTTGAGGTTTCGCTAGTAAATTGCAGTTTAGTAGCTAAGAATTGGTAGGTTCGAAAGGCTACCACTTCGAATTGGTAGCCTTGAAAGTGTTTCGAGATTTTTCTACTCCTTCGGTATATAAAAAATTATACAGTCGTTTATTAACTGGTGATTACTGGTCTACCCCTTCGAACTATACATGTGTTGATTTATCTGACGTCTGTGTGAGGGTGAAGGCGTTGATTTCCTCTGAAACTAGGAAATGAAGCAGCTTTACTGATTTTTCTGCTTATGATTATGGATATGTGTGAAAATGACTTTTTCTGGTGTGCGTTCGAACTTTAGGTTTCTGGTTACTGCGGTCTTCTCATCGGGAGCCCTGTGATCCTCTACGAGATCATTGCGTTTGTAGTTCCTGGACTTACTCGAAGCGAAAGGCGGTTCCTCGGACCTATCGTTCTTGGCTCATCCGTGTTATTCTACACCGGTGTCTTATTTTCGTACAAAGTGCTGACTCCAGCAGCTCTGAATTTCTTCGTAAATTATGCCGAAGGGGTGGTGGAGTCCCTTTGGTCAATTGATCAGTACTTTGAATTCGTGCTGGTCTTGCTTTTTAGCACCGGTTTAGCTTTTCAGGTACTGCTTTTTAAGCTCACCCTAGCAAACCCATGTTTGTGTATACCAGATGTTAGACCTCCAATGTATGGTTCATTCACATTTACTGTTTCTTAGTTGTTCGCCTTCTTTTTACCTACAAGCATTGATGATCCAGTTGCTACATACTCTTGTACTGAAAGTGATCAATGTAATTTCAGGTACCGGTGATTCAATTGCTGCTCGGTCAGACTAGGATAGTCACAGGTGAACAAATGCTTTCTGTGTGGAGATACGTAGTGGTTGGATCAGTTGTCGTCGCCGCTGTTCTGACTCCTTCCACGGATCCTCTCACTCAACTTCTGTTAGCTGGTCCACTCATTTTTCTTTATATGGGTGGTGCTTTCCTAGTAAAATTTCTCGCTCCTGTGGAAGAGCCAAGTAATTAGCTTTATTCTTGTGCTATATAAGCTAGATTGTGACTGACCCTTGAGTTCGTTGCATAGAAAACGAAATGCACTTTCCAAGTGAGATATGCTTTTAATTGCACTTGGTTGTATTTGAGTCTGTAAATTACGGCTGGCGCCGGTCCAACATGATGTACTGCGCGATGAAGTATTCAGTCGCTTCTATGAGAAGGAAGGTGGAGCTGACTCTCGTCAATGTTTTAAGTTCGTGCAGCCGAGAGTCCATTGTATACTCGCAGCGTAAGATGCATGTAATGAGACATCATCATGAAACAAGTGAATTATCGGTGGTGTTCCAAGATCAAAGAGGGCTCAACGAAAGGTGGTGTTGTCATGTGATTCAGATTCCTGTCCTGACTCGGGCATATACGTGAAAGCCACGAGAAGTTCATGAACAATGGGCACTTTCTATCGAATCTATTTTGTTATTATGCAGTATTTGCTACGGTCTGAGCCACCACACGCAGACTTTGCCCTCCAATTCACGCTTGTATCGTGTCGCAGAGCGACTTTGAGGAACTGAATGCAAGAAAGAGCTCGTGCGTCACAAAAACTCAGTGTTCCATGAGCTGGACAACAACCTCCACCAGTGAAACCTAACGAAGTTGGGTAGCTATTTCACTATTAGAACCGTACAATCACGTAAATACAAGCGTCCAAATTTCTCTGATGAAGTTATCACTCAAGTGAGGTTGTCTATTCTCCTGAAGCAATTTGCTGTGAGGTACTTGGGAAGAGTTTGAAGACCCACAGTTGCCTTGCGCTTGTCTCAGCCTGATCATCACACCCGGAAAGTACCATTCTACTCCTAGACTCCGAGGCACGTTCAAGAGAGGAAATTCTACAGTCGCTGTTCGGAACGTGTTAAATCACAAACAGTGACAGGAGAGCAGCTGATAGTGTACTGCTCATGCGCGAAGACATTGTCTTGACTGACACGAACTAATCGATAAGAAGACGGTGTTAAGTTTTAGCAAAGAAATTGCCAAATTTGTTTTTTTAGAATTAAGATGTCGTTTGCACAAGCGTCACTAGCCACCAGAAGTTGACGCGGCGCCATCGCGGAATAAGGTCAATGTCATGTATGTAGATTAGAAGGTCCCGGATGTAGTTCCAATCCAGTTTCTCGACACCGTTGGAATGTTTTTGGAGTAACTGGGGATGTTCCGTTCACTGGCGAAAAACCGCAAAGTCATGTATGAAGAACTCGAGGAAGTGTTCAAGAAATCGCTGAAAACATCCGTCATGAGCCTCTAAAAAGTTCCATGTGCGTTGCACAATCCAAAGGACATCCGGTTGAAGGCCAAAGTCCCCCCGTTACGTTACTTCCCCAATTAAGGTCTCATATCAGCTCAGGAAGATGAGTAGTGAGACCATATGGTTTCAGATGAAAGATTATGACACGAAGATCCAAGATCACATCTATGCATTTGATGATCTTGGGAATCTTGAAGAGTAGATATCTAATGAGAGAAAAGCTCTCTATTTTTTTAGGTTACTTCATGCATCTTATAAGTCACTATCACGTGTTATATTTCATCTTGACAAACAAATCATCACTTACCATACATTGTAAGTGTTATGTTGATTCATGAACAACAACAGATTATAACTATATCATTTACTCCCTTCTTTTTTTGGGATATGACACTGAATGCGATTCAAGGTTGGTCATATTCAAGGAATAATAGGAATGACTCAAATGTACATTATTTTTGGCACCACATTTCAAACTTTTTCTATCTCAATGTTTAATCAATGTCACTAAGCAAAGAAAAATGTCACATATTCTTATGACAAAGCTGTTTGCAGTCTCATGTATTTGATGATATGCAGGAGGTCTGATATTGCTCTAGCAATAAGCAAGATGAGCAAAAATATGTTAAATCAAGGAAAGGTTCATTGCAAAATTATGAAATGGATTTTTAGGTATTCAAAGAGTATTAATAATTATGATCTATTGTCTGATGGTTTATTGGAAAATGCCAAATTTTTGTTAGGCTATGTGATGTTGACTATGTACAAAATCTAGATCAGAGAAAATATACAACGAGGTATGTGTTAACACTTGGCTGATGGATGCATCAGTTGGAAAATCTATCTTGCAAAAATGCGTAGTTTAGTTTACAAAGAAAACTAAGTATGTAACACCAATAGAAGGAGAAAAAAAAGTAGTTGGTTAGAAAGCTTATCATTGAGATGAAAATTAAACTAGAAGTTGTTAATCTTCATCTTGATTGGTATAATGCTTCATATTTTGTTGTAAATCAAATGATGGACAATAGAATGAAGCACATTTAAATCAAGTATCATTTTAATAAACTTACACTTTCTTATAAAAGTATTGAGCTAATGAAGATTGAAGGTAATTTAATCTCGCTAATACATTGACCAAAATCATTCATTTGGAAAGTTTTAAAAGACATTATGATACTAAGCAGATTTTGCATGAGTAGTAGAGGTAGAATTAACATCACTCTCAAAGGAATTTCCTTGACGTGGTCCCACTTTGTCTCCAACTTCAGTGGAGAGCTTACTTGCAATACTCCGCTCACCTATCATGACTTAGTTAGGCACCTTCATTTAGAACCGATCTACATGGATGATCAACAACACGATGAGGACAAAAAAACCAATCTTGTGTCTCACATTTTTCACCAAGGCCATAAGATTTTTTGTACCCAACAGCCTTTTCAATAACAACATTTTTTCTTGTTTTCTTGCGGATGAAATAATGAGGGAAGTTGCGATTTTGTTGGTGTTGACAAAAAAAGTTGCAACATTACACCAATCAGCAAGCCTAAAACCATTTGACGAGAATCGTGTAGTGTGTTTACTGTAGTAGAAATACTCATTTCTCCTTCACCTACGACTTAAAGAGACTTGACAAGCAGATAGTGCAAATGCAAGTTTGCGCCGTTACATAACGAGGTATCAAACGTCAAGTCAACTTGGTTGAGAGCAACTTGGATGTTCTTGGTGAATTGTTCCTCTGCAAACAGATGGAGCTTGAGGCTAATTTTTCAGGATTTGAAGCTCATAGAGATTATTTTATAATTCAGGTGTCTCTAGCCATGTCACAAGTGATAAGTCCACGCTCTCATTTTTTGAAAAGAAAAATTTGCTCGTAAATCTATGTGATAACCAACAAATATCAAAATGGAGCATAATGGTATAGATTCGTTCTCACAAAGATGGATGCAACACCAAAAGTCACGATTTGTCACGTATTAACATTCTATTGAAGAGTTTTACTTCTTAGGCTGATGTCACTTCGAGAAAACACTGCTCGATTACGGCCGAAGGTCCGAAGAGCAGAGTCTAATCACACAACCTGAAACTTTTCCAAACAACACCTGCGAAAATCGCCTTAGGACCCCACACTATGATTTTAGGGGGAGATTTCAGCATGTGCCCCGCGGATCCGCTGGCCTTCGCACTCATCAAACGTCGCTCCAACAAATCTAACTTTTTTCCACTTAATCGTTGTAATTCCCACATGGCAAATCCGCGTAGGCACCTCTCAACACGCAATTGCAATTCGTCGATTGTTTCGTCACGCAACTGTTGGTGTGTTGTTTCCGCCTTTTTCACTCTTGCTTGCGTTTCCTCGAGCTGCATAGTAACTAACTTCAACTTCTCCTGCAATCGTCCGCATTTCGATTCAAATCTTACTTTACATTCAACCTCCAAAGATCTGGTCGTTTCACAATCCGCCAATTTCTTGGTCCAATCCGTTAATTCGCCGTGAACTTGTACTCCTTTAATGACGCACTCGAAGAAGCCGACTTGCCAAGCAATGACATAAGTCGTGCGCTGCGGTAGAAGAATATGCATGATTCCCAACGCAATCTCGCGCCTCATCGGAACCTTGTAATCCGCGGTCTTCCATCCATTTGTTCCCGACCTCGCGTTCTGGAAAAGTGGGGCGAAAGTAAATTCTTTTGCGCGGATTATCTTCACGCTATCTTTCTCAAACATAAAATCTCCGTTGTCTCCTACGCATGGCCTTAGAACTTGCATCCAATGCTCCACCGTCCAGAGCATCCGGTTGCCTCGGAGATCCTCTTCCCCGTTCCGATTCTTGTCCATGATCTCCTTACAAATACCAATTCCAACTCCCAAGAGGAAGTCTAGGTGTAATTCGTTGAGCTCCCGCCTATAGGATCGCAATTCCTCATGAGGTACATTCAGCGGAACCAATTTCCACACCTTGGGTGTCTTGGATAAAGCCATATCTTCAAATCGCGTCTTCGCTGCTATCAAGGTCGATCGATTTCGCTTTCCCTCACTCTCGCTTGTTCTCGCTCGATGTCAAAATGTCGGCCCGAATGTTCTCGTCCTGCTCTTACCCTCAATGCCCTAACATCCTTTTGCGCGCAAATTGGTACCCTCAACGCGTGTGGATTTTTACCAGTCCTTCACAAATTCAAATTGATCTTCGTCATCTTTGCCGAAGATCCGGCTATGGCATGCCGAAGACCCGGCTATGACTGCGCCAAAGGTCCGAAGATCCGAAGGTCTTCGGCCAAAGTCGAATCCTACTTTCCTTCTCTGTCTAGATAAATTTTCCATAATTTTTCTAACTTCTACAACTTAGGACTTATACGTCTACATTCTAACACAAATATGTTTAAGTTTTTGTTAATTTTGTAAAGAACGAAAAAACTAAGCACCACAGGACAACAGTCTTCACTTCTGGTGTTTTCAAACGGAGCAAGATTTCCACTTGTAAAAAAATAGTACTTCATATTGAGACAAATAAAAGCATCAAAACGATTTTGTACGTGCCCGAATTCACTAAAAACTTGTTCTTTGCAGATAAGGTAACACATTGGTCATCAAGTAGTTTTTACTCATGAGTCTTTTTTTATCCTAAAAAAGAAGTATCCAAATTGAGTAGTAATCTTTAATGAAGGAGATACTAAATCCAAATCATATAGGAATAACATTAGCTTACAATGAGTTTATGTGCACACTCCGCTTCATTCACGTATTCACTCGGACTTCCTAACTTCATAGGGTTCACAGAAGACGTAATGGCTCCAACCGGTAAGAGGTTCCCATCAACTTGTGACTAAAGCGCATGTAACACATCAGTACCAAACAACATACAACATGTAGACTAAAAAAATTGTTGAAGTCATTTCCTATTTGCAAGTAGGCTAGGACAGTAAATTTGAAATTTGTGTACTTACCAAGCAACATAGATCTAGATGACCTAGATGACCTAGATGTTCTGTGAAACTTTTGAGCTGGTGCACAGTGACTTGTGTGGACCAATTTATAAAGACACTAAGTTCAAATACTTACTCACGTTGATCGATGATTACACGCGTTACACGTTGGTTCACTTTCTTTGTTTGAAAAGTGATACTTTTCAATGATTTAAAGGTTTTGTGAAGCTAGTGAAAATTTATTTTTTTTGCAAAATG